TTATAAACAGAATGCCTGTTTGCTCTTTCTTATGCAACTTTTCCTTTTTTGCCAAGCAAAACAGAGGTCATAGGAATGGATACCACAATGTTGACGGAGTTGCCTTCCTTGTCCACTCTTCTCTCCGCTTATGCCTCTGTTTCAGCCATGGCCATGCTCATCCGTACCATCTTAAACGAAATGGTCCCCGAAAGGATTCGAAACTACATCTCCACCAAACTTTACAACCTCACCGCTGCTTACTTCTCATCGGACTTCAGATTCGTGATAGAAGATCGATGGCATGCCGACGATAACCAAATGTTTCGAGATGCTGAGGTCTACTTGCCGACCATAATCGGACCGTCCAGCGACAGTCTTATCGTCGGTTACGATGACTACAGCGACCCCATGGAACCACCAAAGCGAAGCATCCCTGTAGATTGCACCATCATAGATGATTTCCAAGGCATGCGGTTGAAATGGTCTTTATCTTCTATTGAATCGAAAAAGTACTACATCCCAAATAAGAGATTCTTTAACCTGACGTGCAAGAAAAGTGAGAGAGAAATAGTTGAGCAGAGGTACTTCCCTTACATAAACAAGACTGTACAAGCGATGCTGAGCAAGAGTGAGAGCCTCAACATTTACACATATGGTCAAGACGGTTCCATGTGGGAGTCGACGGTTTTCAAGCACCCTGCAACGTTCCAGACCCTGGCAATGGAGCACGAGCTTAAGGAATTCATAATGAAGGATCTCGACTCGTTCGTTGCACGCAAGGAGTTCTTCGAGAACGTTGGCAGGGCCTGGAAACGTGGGTACCTTTTGCACGGTCCTCCAGGAACGGGAAAATCATCACTAGTTGCTGCAATTGCCAATTACATGAAATATGATATATATGATCTTCAGTGTCAAAGCGTTAGAAGTGATTCTGATCTCAGACGCATACTCACATCCACCACAAACCGGTCGATTCTGCTCATTGAAGACATAGATTGTAGCACCAAAGTAACACATGACCGAAGCAAGGTCAAAGAAAACTGTGAAGAAGAAGAAGAAGAAGAACTCAAACGTCCAATGGGTGTCGATCCTGGGGTAATTCCTTTGTTTCTTTACTTGATCTGATTAAGTCCAAACAAGCTTTTCGGTTCTCTAATTTGACGTGATTGTGCAGGTAACACTGTCAGGCTTACTCAACTTCATTGATGGACTGTGGTCGAGCTGTGGGAACGAAAGAATCATAATCTTTACCACAAATCATAAGGACAAGCTAGACCCGGCACTGCTACGACCGGGGCGAATGGATGTGCATATTTACATGGGACATTGTACACCAGCAGGATTCAGAAAACTTGCATTTTCGTATCTTGGGATCAAAGATGACAAACTGTTTAGCTGCATTGATGATTTGATTAGAAGTATTGAAGTTACCCCATCTGAAGTGGCACAACAACTGATGATCAGTGATGAACCCAGAGTTGCACTCGAAGGTCTCATCGATTTTCTTAACACCAAGGATATAGAGGAAGCTGCGGTTGAAGAGAAGAAAAAGAACATCAAAGAAGAGTCAGAAACAGAAGAAAAGAAGGTTGAAAGGCAAAATCAGAGATTGCAGAGTCTGAAACAAGATGCATATATTTTACTTAGTTTAGCTATTATGCGACCAATAATCTACTTGCCCTGCAAACATGCAAACTACATTCACTTCATTCTTTGTTATCCAATCTTCATGTACCAAAGATTATATATAAAACATATATTTACATGAAATAGGCTTCTCCAATGAATTCTACTTATTTGGGTCAATGGAATATGCTTCTCCAAACTTAATAGAACCCTCCAATTTACTTGAAATTCATTATCTCCCTATTGGGTCTTCAATGAAGGCCTTTGATATGTTTTGGGCTTTTTCATATTTTGAGATTCTTAAGTTCATTTTGCACATGGAAGTGCTCTTCTTTATTCGTCTAATGTTTTGACTCCCCCTGTTTAATAATTTAAATGGACAGTTGAAATCAATTGGATGTACTTCATCCATGCATGTGTCATATTTTTTTCACTTATTTTTTACATGTAATATGTTAATTTGTATAGAAAAAAATATGAATTCATACCTTCAAACTCGTTTTCTAGGTTATTTATCACTTGTATCAAGAATGACTTGATTGATTGTTACATATAAAGATTAATAAATAGAAGAAATGCATACAAACTTATAAATCAATATATATGCATTGAGTAAGCCCGGAAGATATAAAGATACTTGATGAAGAGTATGAAAAACAAAAGATCTCACTAAGAACTTCAATTAATAATCTTAAATCAAACTTTAACTAGAAAAAGAGTTTAGCAACTGATAGAGGAGGAAGTTGTAATCAGCGACAAGAAAGGAGAATTTGATTATTTGTGTCTTCCCCTCGTAACTCTATTTATAATAGAAGTCATTTACATCAATAGAGAGAAAGAGTTTATATTAAAATATAATTCAAAGCCTGATCTTAATCTAAATACAAGATAAATATAGAAATTGCACTTGAGTATGGTTCTTCTTTCTTGAATTCTTGTCGAGGCGTGGACACACTTTATTCACCGAGTGCTTCTAACCGATGCGTTGATATTTTCAAGTGTATAAATTTGGTTAAAACACTACTTTTATACATTAATTGTTCTTTAACTGTTCAAACACCTGAAAACTCAAATACTTGTCAAAACAAAATCTTAAAGATAAATTGAAATATTAAAACATTCGAATTTATATATGAAAATCATATAAATATCTGACTTATCAGTGATATTACATTCGTGAAAGCCAATACAGTATTATGTTATTCAATGGAATGACCTCTAATCTATCATGGTCAACTAAATCTATTAGGGACTTCATGTAAGTACATTCTTTCTTAAATTGCAATAGCCATTTTTTAGTAATAGAGATTTTAAATTCATAAACTTTTTTTAAATATTAAATTTATAATTTTGAATTCTCTTATCTTCGTTTTCTCATCTGGGAACATTTTGTTACATTTTCTTTTCCCTTAAATTCAGGTGACTTTGAAATCATATAAAAAATCTTAACTTACATATATACATATTTGCTTTATCATGGTCAACTAAACTATTTTTAATCACACTAGACCCATTAAACCTTTAATACCCAATCAAAGTTTAACCTAAATGAAAAAAAAATATCCTTATTGAACTCAAATTAATATATCTAAAAAAAATTCAGAAAAATCCATTAATTCGATCACTTGCTGAATTAACTAAACTTTGTTCTGATCGGTTAATAATTTTTTTAAAATTTTCAATTCAATTAATGGTTAAAGAAAAAATTATTAATTTAATTTTAACTAATTTAAATCTATCGATGATCGAATTAACCGTTTAAACGACTTCCGTTGCGTGGGATTCCAACGCCATAGTATGTCCTTATTTCACTCAGATGTATAAAGCTATAGTAATTAAGTAATTTACATTTGTTGTTAGGTCAAATCATTTGTTTGTTTGGTTCTGTGGTGGGAAAATGACATGTTTTCTCTAAATTAATACCTAATTTTTTTCACTTCATTTTTTATTTTACCATCACGCTTTACGCACGCCACAAATGGACGATGGGCAGGTTTGCGAAAATATATATAAAAAACCAATACTTGTATCATAATATCTTTTAACTTAATTTATAAATTAATTAGGCGTGCACTCATGTTGTTTACTTGCATATGTTAATGATGTTGGATTAAGTTTAAATTTATTAGTTAATAAATATTGCGCACTTAATTAGTAATTAATTACTGTTTTACAAAGTGTTTTGTACCAAAAAAAAATTATAAGAAGTGCCTATCAATGCCTGATAGACAGAAAGGTATACGTAATCAATGCGTTATTTTAAAAAAAATAATAAATTTATGGATAAATTACATCTTTAGTATCTAAACTATTATTTTTGTTTTATGTTGGTACTCCACTGTTGAAAACTTAATGGTGATATTGACATATCACAATAAAATAATGTCACGTTGTCATTGAAAAAATAAATTTTTTTACATAAGTAGTTCTGTTAATTTTTATCGGTAATATATCAAATTGAAACCTAAACTAAATATTAGGCATGATTTTGAAAAAAAAATAAAGTTTGAGTACCAAACCAAAACAAAAGAATAGTTTAGATACTAAATGTGTAGTTTATCAAAAATTAATATATTACAAAATTATAACTTATACCTACAGGCACGGTTTATCTTATTTATTATTATTTTTTGGGTATGATTGGTTCATGTATAATTGATGAATCTTTAACAAAATTATTATTATTTTTACTTAAATACGTTGATGGCAAGCTAATGAAACCAAACCTAAGGATCAAAGATGGGTTAAAGAGATAGAGACATTTGGACAACTTCTTTAATCTTATTCTATATTATATTTAGTTGTATGTCATGTTTTATTATTTTAATTTTATATTTAATGATAGACTAATTGTCTTGTTGTGAAGACAACATCGATGATAGTTTTGGTATTTGCTTAAGCTTAGAATCAATGACGTATAACTTATTGATTATTTTTTCTAAATGTTATAATTCGAATAAATACGTCTATAGAATGTTTTATTGTTAATAGTGTATATGTATCTCACGTTAGTAATTAAACACGTTTAAAAATATCACATCAATAATATGTGCTAATCGTTAGTCAACTAACTACTTATAAGAGATAAAATAATTATGTATGCAAACGTTGAATAATTTTGTCACGGTGTTATTAAAAAAACATAGAATTTTCGCTCTATTAGGGTGGGAAATTAATTTATTTTAAATTTTTTAATAAACATTTTAAGTAAAAAGTAAGTTTGCACATTAATCAAAACTTAAATTAAATGTGTAAACTAATAACTAATAAGAATGTTGTATAACCTAGCTATGGTTTTGGCCTGGTTATCACAAATCTTCATCCATGGATCCTTTTATTAAAGAAACCCTTAGTTAAAATAGAGTACAATAACATCTTTTAAAACAAACACCGAGCATGAAAACAACCACAAAACAAGTAATAACAACACAGAAACGATTAAATCAGTACATGATCATATCAGCAGCTGCAATAATGGGCTGGTGATTCACAGAGAAACAACTCCATTGATTAATATTCATGAAGGTATCATCATCAACCCGATGATGATGGTGATCATATCCGAAAACCCCGTCGCCTGAGTCTATGAAACCGACGATTTCATTGAGAGATTGAAGCCTAGCACTGAGCTCAGCCATCTGAGCTCTAAGAACCGAGTTCTCAGCCTCCATGTTCAAGTAAAGTTCAGCGGCTATGTTGATGCTCGTAAGGATCCGGTGGTTTTCATTTGTGAGCTGAGAAACTTGGCCCATCAGATCATCGAGGTGCTTTTGTTTACGCACCCGAGACCGGCGAGCGGCTTCCCTGTTGGACACCTTTCTTTTGCGCTTTCTTTCGTTTAAAATCTGCTGAAAATCCTCGTCGGAGCAAGAGCTTCTCAGTGGAGTTGAGGAGGAAGATGATCCCGTTTTTGACGTAGCCATACCAATAACAATTATAACAAAACAAAAAGAAAAAATGATTATTTATGAAAAATGGTTAAGAGAGGTAGCTGATTATTTATGAAAACACATAGAACCAGTAAAGGAAAACAACGGAAAAAGATTGAACAAGATGGGTCCTGCGCCTGAGAGTGGAGTTTGTCATAAAACCACAAAGGAGGATTTCACTGAGTATTGGAGACATGAGTCTCGAGCATCAGGATCTTAACAGGCATCAAAAGATTGATTTTGCTAAGAAAATCTGGGATTTTTCTGTATATATATGTGTAAGATGAAAGACGATGAAGAATATGTAGAGAAAACTAAAGGGAAATGAAGAAGATGAAGGAAAGAGGTTGATGTGGGGATTCCACGGTGGTCTTTATAAACAGAAATTACCCATTGGAAACACATAAACTAATGGGGAAAACACATTGCTGATTTGCATCTAAAATGTGGGCGAAATTAATTTTGCATAATGTCAAAATTATACCTCAATATTTATTAAAATAATTATTTTGAATTTTATTTTTATGTATCTTGATTTAACTTTTAATTTTTGAGTAAAAAGATCTTTTACTTTTGATCGAATAATCACTTTAATTCTTATTCTTTTTTCTTAAAGTATTTTGATCTTCAACATAAATGTATCAATTTTACATTAATAAGATTTTTCTATCAGTGTAACTATTAATTTGGATTAGGGATGGGCATGAGTCGGGTTTCGACTAACCTAACCCGACTCGAAAATTTTATATCCTTCACTCGACTCTACCCGACCCGAAAAATATATACTCTCCACCTGATCCGAACCCGACCCCATTTTTTGAGAGAAAATCTAAACCCACCCTAAATAATAAAAATATTATTTTTATTTAATAAAAATAGTGATTTAATTAAAAAAATAATATATAGAGAGGTATTATTAGAATTATTCTTAATATATAAGGTAAAATTATATATTTTTTTAGGTCGGATCGGGTCGGATATTTTTCACCCTAAACCCGAATCTGATCCGAACTCGAAATTTTAAAAAAAAAACCCGACCTATCGAGTCGGGCAAAGTTCGAGTCTCGTGCCCATCCCTAATTTGGATGTTAAATGTCTGGTTAAATTTAACGTAAAGTAGATTTAAAACATACATATCAAATTATAAACATGGTTATACCTATTGTATCGATTGCTTAGATTTGGCATGTCAAAAAATTAAATAGCTCTCCTAAATTCTATTGACACTGTGTTTTTTCTTAACACGTTAATTCTAAATCATTCATATGATAAGCACATATATGTTTACGATTTAATTTATATATCTAAAATATATTACGTGTCAAGTTTGAATTGACATTTAGTTCCTAAATCGATGATTAGATTGATGGAAGGACATCATTGATATGATACTAATATTTTAAGAACTTAAATATAGTATTTTAAAAGTTAAAAACTAGTTTAAATTCTAGACTATAGTTCGGGGACTTTTGAAGAATAAACCCGAATAGTTATATATTAGTGCTAGTTTCAACTTAATGTGACCCTTCAACTCAGAAAACATATTAAATGTGGCTCTTTGACCAACGTTTTATGTTGTTGACTGTTACAGTACTGATGTGGCCGTTTACAATGATGATGTGGTGATTCACAATGTTGATGCGCTGGTCCACAATGGCTGATGACATGGCAAATAACATGACAGATGAGATAAATTTTTTTTTTGTTTTATTCGAAGGCTAAATTGATTTTTTTAATTAGGGGCTTATATATTTTTCAACAATAATAAAAAATATTTCAAATTTTAATTATAAAAAATAAATATAAAAATACTAAAAATAAAAATTAAGTTACACAAAAATTCTATATATATATATATATATATTAAAAATTTAAATATATATCATAAGCTATAAAATGATAAAAAAAATTATTAAAAAATCAAAAATATTTTTAAAAACATATATTATACATAATATATACATCTAACAAATGGTCATATCATCAACACTTATACAAAATATTCTGATTGGATTAGTTGAGACTTATAAATTTTATATCTAAATATAACTAGAAAACATCATAAGTTACTCACATCAATATACAAATATAATCATATTTTAGACAATTTTTAAGCATCACTTTATATACTAGCTTATTAAATGATCTGCAAGGATTTAGGAATAATCCTTAATTTTTTTTTAATTTTTAATAATATTTTTTTAATTTTAAATTATATATTTAATTTTGTAGTAATTTAAATTTTATTTTTAGTATTTTTATATTTAATTTATTGAATATTTGAATATTTTAAATTTTAAACATTTTATTTTTAAAAAAATTAAATAAGTCACTAAACTTAAAAAATCAATTTGGCCCTCGAACAAGATAAAAAAATAAATTTAGCTCATTTGCTATGTCATCTGTCACATCATCAATCACCGTAAACTATCACATTAACAATATGAATTGCTACATCAGCAGCGTGAACCGCCACATCAACATCGTAATGGTTAGTGATGGAAAATGTTGGTCAAAGGATCACATTGGATATGTTTTATGAGTTGGAGGGCCACATTGGGTAAAAAAATAATTCAATGATCATATTAATTTTTTTCAAAAGTACAAGGGAATGTAATGCGTTTTTGCCTAAAAGTAAAATATATATATAATACACACACAACACTAACATACCCAAAAAATAGTGTGATTTGTCAGAACGCAGTTCAATAAAAATGTATTTAAATAATTAATATAAAGCTTGTGGCTTTTTCTAAAGCAGCAGGAGCTGGTTATGGTTAATGGTTTACTTAACAATTTTTCTATTTAAAGATTCCCTACACTAACCTTTCCCAATGACCACTTTAATATTTATAAACTAAAAAATTTCATTGATTTTGTTTTTAGGAGAGCTGAAGCGGCTGATTTAGCCATAACAAGTTTTTTATTTAATTTATTAGAATAAGTTAAAATTTATTTTGAGATATATATTTTTTATAGTGTTATTAGGTGACGAGTTCGAATAAAATATATTTTTTTATTAAAATCTATCACATCGAGAGAAAAAATTAGAATAAAAATATTTTTTTATTGAAACTCGTCACCTCGACGTGATGAGTTCTGTGTCATTGTAGAAAAGATCATAGATCCCAAAATAAATATTGACTTGCTTTAATGGGCTAAATAAAAAATTTATATACTTTACTGAGCCAATTTTGCCGCTAAAGATAGGGAAGGAGGCATAATTTTATTCAAACTTTTAAAATTTTAAAAATTAATAAATTTATAAAATTTGAGGGGTAGAAATAATTTTTTAATAAAAATATGTAAAAAAATTTAAAATATATGATAATTTTAAATTTTCAATCAAACGATTGTAGTTAATGTTAAACATAGAATCGGAAGCCAACCATTTCAAATGGTTTCTATATTACCATGGAATCCGAAACTGTTAGTTTGGTCGAATAGGGTTGGCTGGTTTTGGACCAACCAAATTTCTTTCTTATTCTGTCGGCCGGCAATAATAGAACATTTTTTTATTGGTATTATAGAAATGGATATCGATGGACATGAAAATATTGGGTTTTTATAGGTGTGACTATAAAATAGTATCTGTTTAAAATATTTCTTAGTTATTAATAATACAAACATGCCATGTAGACATAGCCGTTCAAACTCGAAATCTTTAAGGAGAACAACACTCTCTTTACTACTGAAGTCGTTTGATAGGTTCTTACTAACGGAGAAGTTGAGTGTTTCTCAGTTATCAATAACGCAAACATGTCATTCAGACACAACCTTTCAAACTCGAAATCTTCAAGGAGAACAACATTCTCTTTTATTACTGAAGTCGTTTGATAGGTTCTTACTAACGGAGAAAGTCGAGTGTTAGATAAAAGATTTATATGCCATACAAAGTGCAAACATTATAATATATGATATGACATCAAAATGGTTGACAAAGTTAAGGTGGCCATAAGCCCTGCTTCATTGCTATGTTTTACAATGGTTTTGAGATAACCAGGATTAAAGCTATATTAACCTTGATTAAGCCTAAATCAATTTGGAAATGTTTCACCTTAGAAGTTGCAGAAGAAATGGCTGATTATGATTACAATATATTTATAACAGAGACCAAGAATTAAGGGGGGGAAATGAAGATTACCACTCATGACATATCACCTACATTCATCCAGGGGACTTTAATTTCTTCCCTTTGTATGCCCTGGATTCAAACAGGGGAAATACAAAAAATATGAAAATTATATAGTTGAAATGTACATTTCCATGTGAATGTGGTCAAAACTTTACACTTTCATGTTGTGTGTGGAACGAATGAAGACTAGAGTGCGTTTTAGGGTGGCTTTACAGAAACGAAAAGCCGGCACCGTGTTCCCGAGCAATCTTGTTGGCTTCCAGCTTTTCATTGATTACCAGAACTGGGATACCAGCATATCAATTTCTACTTCATGTCAATTATACTGTTCATAAGCAAAACAAAGAAGAAAAGCAAAAGATTAATGGGGAATGCTATAGTCTTAATAGCTTACCAAGGTCTTCTTCTTTTTCTTCTTTTTGTCGAGGTACGTTGCGAGCTCCTGTTGTTGCGCAAACGAGTCTTCTAGAACCTGGAAATGAAAAAAAAAGCAAGGGGATTGGTGACCAATTTAAGTACAATTCTGCATCTTCTTTCTACATGTTCCATAAAAGATTTTGTAAACAGCAATGCCTTACCTTCTTGGTTGCCATAAGCTCCTGCTCCAAAGTATCTGCTCGGGTTAGCGCTGTATTCAACATTTCCTCCTTATCAGGGGGCATTGCTGAAGGTTTCGTGTTAATAACAGTTAATCTCTCTTCCAACTCCTCCATACGTTTCATGACCGACATCAATTCTTCAGCAGAGAGGGCTGCTTGTTGGGCTAACTCGGGTGAAGGCTGCTGGCTCCTAGCCACTGTGTCTACACTGTCAACTTGACGCGAGTTGCTGATGGCATCGGTGGGTTTAATGGCATGTTGCGTGTCACTTTCATCATAGCACCAATTCCCATAACAAACGTCATGACGCCGGTGAAAAAAATGAGAGCTAAGCCCATCAGGAACCCTGCAAGCTTCTTGCCTAGAATCTACCCTTGGAACAATAGCCAGCTCATTACCTATTATAATTTAGTTCAGAAACATCGACACCGTAAGTACCCGATCCAAGTATGTGCTTAAATGAAGTATGATGTCCCTGATACTCAACTACATTGAGGAACATTCAGAGAACACAATGATGCTACATTATGTTTGCATGCGTGTGTGACTATTAGATGTAACAGTCTAAAAGTAGGGACATACCTCTAGGTACGATAGCAGCATTTTCATTCTGCGAAGGCAAATCAACAGGATTATCAACCACCGGGACAACTTCCTCAGTTTTGATCGTTTGGACCTGTGAGATTTATACATCAGAAGTAAGAAAAATTGGGGGGGGGGATTGTGATTTTCACAATACATCCACAAAAAAACAGATTTTCATAGTTGCAAAAGAAGAAAACGTGGAAGCAAATAAATTCTATGCTCAAGATAATCTACAAACTCAACCACTTTGTTGGTATTGGACATTGCATCCTCTAAGGGTTCTACATATTTTACGAGTTGGATCAACTTCGCGGTCTATGCTGGTACCACTAGATGCTAACTTAAAGCCTGTAAGAAGGCTGCTAAACTTACATTGTCATTAACAGGAGCTGGTAGCTCTGGAGGTTGTTTCTCTCCTGCATCTGGGACTGGAACAGCCTCAGCGTACGAGGAATCTCTAGGCTGCATAAACCGTGACACAAACTACTCAGAATAGACAATAAACACGAAAGATCTTCATAATTCAGGGACAGATAAACATATAGCGGGAAAAGAGGAAGAGGCAGGTGCTAGCTCATAAAGCAAGTCGAACCTTTGGGACTGCAGGCTCATCCTCTACAGTTGTTTTCTCTTCACTGGTTTGAGCCTGTGATTTCTTACCTGGTTTATGCTGACCATTTTGAATCATCTGCAAGTCAAAGAATCAGTTAGACTATAGCAAACAAACTATACAAGAGAATCACTATGACTGCAACTGAGAATAAAAAAGATGGTTGTGCTCAACCTTCAAAATCTCCGGGTCCTTCCATGGGCCCCTATCGGAAAGCATGCAGCCTCCCTGATCGGCACAAGTGCAAGTAACTCCCAAAATGTCTGGCAACTCGCTGATAAAGAGAAACAATAGGGAAAGAAATATCAGGAAAAGAAGAAGCAACACAAGGAAATTGTTTGGAACAGTGGATAATATTTTTGCTCTACATTCTAAGCTAGGATTGGATTTACTTAGCATCAATTATTTCGAGCAACTTGCTTTGAAATTTGTTACCAAGAACCTGGTACATAAAAGATTATACCGATTAGATTCAATTGGTCAAACTAGAAAATTCAGTGAGAGGAAGTGGATGCTTGCATTGATCTTGGCTGTGGTCTTAGGATCAAGGAAAGACTTAACAGTGTTCCACAACATTCTAAATACAGAACCAGCATTGATGATGAACATCCGGTTCAAAGTCTGCAAGAAAGGCAAAATTTTGCAAATCTCAAATCCATCATCTAATGTTAGAAGTCACAACCAAAACAAAAACTTGTCTATCAAGAAAATCGGTACCTCGGGATAATTGTCTCCATCAACCTTCTGAAGAAGAGTGATGAGGTCCCTAGCAGCTTTGGTGAAGCTTTTAAGACCCTGTGTCATTAAGCCAGAGGGCATTCTCATAAGTGATTTATATAAATATTGTATATATTGTAGGAATACATGAGTTATAATTTTGAGGAACTTTGGTCAAATTCTTGTATCATATACATAGTGCTATTGTTCCCCTTACCACACCATTAACATCCAAGATGGTTGTGCTTTGGTCAATGTGCTTCTTGGAAGCAATAGTGCAAGCTGGAAATTTAAATTGGAAGGTCTTCTCAAACTCCCTCACATGTTGAGATAACGATCCATGGTGGTGACTTGCAGGAGCTTGGTTGCATCTACTAGGCCTATTCTCTCTATATACACCGGTCGTCCGTCCATATCTACTCCATGGTACCCTTGCGGATAATATTTCAAAACGTCCTCTCTCACTGAAATCAAAGTCCTTAAACAAATATCAGAAAACAGAATGGAACTCAGCCACAGAGTCATTTTGAGGATACATAAACAAATTGCAGAATCACAATACATCCAAAATCGTGCCGGTTCCGAATTCCTTCCTCCAATTAAGCATATCAGACCACATTTGTTTCGTTTTCTCAAGGTCAAATCTTCTGGCCTTCAAGAACCTGCATTATCAGACAACGTAGTTTTCTGCTTGCCTCAGCAAGTTGTTCATTTCAATGCATATACTACAGCACCAAAGATGAAACAGGATAGAAACATACCTGAGCATCGTGTGATAATCATCGTGTCTTTCAGGCAGCAGATCCTCCACTATAAGCGCCTTACGAAGGGCTTCAACGGACTGTGACTCCTCGGGATCCCGACCATCGTCGATTTCAACAGATATTACTTTACTGCTCCACCTTTTCCTTGAATTCCTGAACCTATTAGAGGCTGTTTTCTTGAATGACTCCCTTGTGCTTTTTCCTTCCTCTGAGTCATCAATTTCTTTAGAACAAAATCATAACATTAAATACAGTTAAAAGAACTGAAAATCATCCCAGATGTTCTCCATATATTAAGACAAAATTTTAGATACCATCATGTATATAAAACCAGAATATCCCATTACAACCATGCTCCAAAAATTCATGCAAATGAAACATCTAAACACAAAATCAAAACATCAACAATGTACCATGATTCATGCCCTACCATGATTTTGAGATGGAATATCAGACATGATCAAGGGAAGGCAAATTCAATCACTGTTATATATCTAAAGTTCCTCAAAATGCCTGCAAATGCTATAATATTTTAATATGACCGCCAAAGCATTCAAAGATTAAAATGAAGAACACTAAAATTAAAACTAGAGAAAGAATATACCTCTGCAAAATGGGAGGGAGGATAACATAAGAGAGAGCTTTTTTTCTTCTTCTTTCTATGGGTATTTTTAGCGTCCTTCGAAAATGGCGGGGAGACGGATAATGAAGGGGCATGACAAGGCATGCCAATAAAAGAAAGTTTATTTTAATGTTTTCTTGTTCATGTTTGTAAGAAAATAAGAAATGGGTCAGTTTGCTTTCTTTATTTGGAATTGGCATTTGCTTGTCATCATCTTTCTTTGACCAATGGATTGACTTTGAATACGAAATTCAAGGCCTTTCCATAAAAAACATAACAAACGGCAAAAACAAAACCATACCAGGCTTTGCCTCTGTCGAGTTTTGGTTTTAGACTCTTTGTTTATGAGTTTCAGCACAATATCGTTCATGTATTCTCTCTTTTTCTTCCTGTTAATTATGCCTGTTAGGCTAATGCTTTGCATTTGACTCGTTAACTTGGTTGATGATTGCTTAATTCTTTGAGTAGAAGAGATATAGAGGGAGCTAAAATTAACGAACTAAACAGCTATGACGAGTAGATCTTTTTCGGGTCGATATAAACTCAGCTTAAAATCAATTTAAATGGCATAATTTATTCATAATTCAGTGATTTGCATTGAGCTAATTTTGGTAGAAAAAAATGCAGTGTTTACATTCTTCTCAACCCAATTCTTCCATTCACCATTCTTTTTCTGTTCACCATCTTTTGATCACCATCCGTTTTCAATCTCTTAACTCTTGATACTATTTCCTTCAATCTTGTGATGGAGGAACCAACTCCACCACAATCTGTTGTTTCATTCTTGGTTTCATCTCTCTTGCGTTTGAGGAACTCAACAAGACCTCGAAGAGCAGCATCAGCATCATTACTCCTCATCAATTCCTCAGCTACCTCCGCTGGGGTCGCCTCTGTACTTTTGAGCAAGCCATCAATTTCTCCAAACAAAGGGTTATGTTTGCTGCCGATTCCCAGATAATTGGAAGCTAAAATCCTGAATCCTGCAGTGGTGCAGTAGGACATGTTGATGTGCAAGTCCATTCGACCTGGCCGCAACAGAGCAGGGTCGATTCGGTCCTTGTAATTAGTTGTGAACACAATAATTCTCTCATCCCCACAGCTTGACCACAGTCCATCGATGCAGTTTAGTATACCAGACAGTGTCAACTGCTGTAAGTAGCATCAAGGAGACAACAGTTTAGTCCACAAAAAACAATGTCTTTTACTTTATGTTCTTTAAATGTTGTACTAAAAATCTCTTACCCCAGATTTAGCATCATGATGTCTGTTTTTGTTTGTAGGTTGTCGTTTAAGAACCTTAGAGCTGCAATCAATGTCTTCAATCAACAGTATCGACCGATTACTTGTCGACAGCAGTGTCCTCCTTAATTCAGCATCAGAGTGTACACTCGTGAGCCCCAAGTCATATATATCGAACTTGAGATGATTAGCCATGGCGGCAACCAAACTGGATTTCCCAGTGCCAGGAGGACCATACAGCAAGTAACCTCTTTTCCAAGCCTTTCCCACTTTCTTATAATACCCTTGCCTCTTCAAAAACATCTCCAAATCATCAATGATCATCTTTTTCAGATCTGGCTCCATAGCCAAAGTATCAAAAGTAGCTGGATGGTCAAGGATTATTGAACCCCAACAACCCCTTCTTTCATTATCATCTTCACTGAATGGACATTGACGACTATAAAGCTTTATCGCCTTGTCTTTGTTTTTTATCTCCTCGGCTTTGAGCAAAACGTAGGGCAAGTAAAAGTTCAAAACTTTATCTTTGTGTTTCTTGTTGAAGATGATCTCGAAGTAACTTTTTTCTCCGTATGGAGGCTTCTGTATTTTTGCAGAAACAAACCTCCATGTCAGTCGAACATCTTCGAAACGATCGACTACTGTTTCGCCGTTGTCGATGGCGATGGTGAGGTGGTTTTGTTTCCTGGTTTTGCTGACTTGGAGCCGCTCCGTCTTGGGGCTGATCCTGGTGCTGAGATACAGTTTGGCTGCTTCGTAAACTTGGTTCTTGCCCATCCCGCATCGCTCGTCGATGGCGAGGGTGAGGTCGGAGGAGAGAGGAGCGAAGAAGTAGCGGCATGTTTTGAGAAGGTAGGATCGGAGTGGGTGGGGAATGAGTTCGTGGGCCATGGATCGGACCAGCATCATGGAGCCTGCAAAGGAGGCGTACGAGGAGAATAATGAAGATGCTGTTTTAGACATTTCTGAAGATGAAAACATGGCGACCATTGAATGAAGACTCGAAGTAAAGTGTTAGGAGATTCAAGGTCGAGCGGGTTGATCGAGAATCCGGCGGACTGGCTTTGTTTTATAGGCAATTACAATAAATAAAGCATTGTTTATAAAACACAATATTTCTCGAAATAGACCTTCATAATTGTTATAAAATATTTGTAAGAACAGGAGCTACGTGACATAGTAGCTCACTAAAAAATATATATATAATGTTTTAAAAGGATATGTTGAAAATCCTGCTGCAATAATATTCCTCAAACGACTCAAGCTGCTTACACACAAACGAAAATATCTAAATGTTGAACTTGCAAAGCGCAATAATATATAGCCGATCTAAAGCTGCATTATAGATCTCATGAACAAAAGTATACTAGCGTATATGATAATTTGTAGAAACCACAGAATAAAATTTATCTGAAATACCCTATAAAACTAGGTCTAAGACAATCGAAAACTTTATGTTGTCGCCTTATTTAGGTTCTTTACCGAAGTTCAAACACATGAGAAATGAAGCTCAAAAGTTTTTCTTGGTGTCGAATCTCCTTCGAGTCCAATAATCTCTTTTTGAAACCCTTCATTTTCACTTAAATCTTTTCTAAAAGATGAGGAAATACCTCTTAACGAAGCTCTACCCTTTTCCTTTTCTCTTGCTCTCGTTCCTTTCTTCTTCTTCTTTTGGTTCGAATCTCTTCGTTTTTAATGTCTTTTCTTCTCTGAATATTGCTCTCGATTTTTTTTTTTTATCTAAAGCTGCATTATAGATCTCATAAACATAAGTATACTAGTAGATATGATCATTTGTAAAAAAAAAACAGAGAAGATTTTTTTTTCTGAAATACTCTATGAAACTAGGTTTAAGAGAATCGAAAACTTATTTGTCGCCTTATTTAGGTTCTTTACCAAAGATCAAACACATGAGAAATGAAATTCAAAAGCTCTTATTGGTGTTGAATCTCCTTCGAACCCAATAATCTCTTTTTAAATCCTTCATTTTCAGTTAAATCTTTTTTAAAAGATGAGGAAATACCTCTTAACGTTCCTATGGAAAGTGTAACTCCTAGACCTGATTTGGACGTTATAATTAAATCTAGGCAGTTACATATTGTATTTAGAAATTCTTTTCATATTTAAAACAACGTTAAAATCTATATAATAGTATAATATGGAATTAGTCATAAGAAAGATTCATATGTTTATATAAATATATATCAGAAAATCGTATAAAACGCATATAGAATAAAATACTGATAATATAGATATACCAAGAAATAGGAGTAGTCAGTCATCCTGATGCCAAGTATTACTATCTGAAAAGGTTCAAATTTACAGAATGAGGTAAATAGACCAGTGCGCTCCTTATGGTGTATAAAAATATACATATAAAATACTTTAGTAAAAAAATAGTTTATTTAACATGTTTTAAAAATATGAACATTACCCCTATCCGATCACCAGAATGTGTAGGTTCTTCAAAACCACACACCCATATGTACACCCAATAAGGGTATTTTACATATAGCATAAGGATATGTGGTAAGAACTTACCATGTGCACAAAGCAAAGGATCATGCGGTAAAGTTACAATTCATAGACTATGTCTTATATACTTCCTCCAATAATACTCCAATGACAGTAATACATATGTATGTATTCGACTGAAAATGGTAGTTTAGTCAATTAAAACATGAAAATATTTCATAATAAAAAATCATATACAAAAATATATTAACCAGAGATCATATCAGAAATATACAGTAAATTATATATTGAATAAACAATATTCATAAAATCATGTATCGTGTCGTAAAAATATTCAGCATCATCATAAATCTAAAACAGTTTAGATAAATATTTTAAAACAATAATGTAACATCATCAGGAAACACACTTGTATCTGTCTAAGTAGTCTGATAGGGAAGCCTACTACTAAGTCTGCCGATCACGATCAGCGGCAGTGCTAGATCGAGTAACTCTCGAAGAAAGCGGATTGAGCGGATCTAACGGACGGGAAGCATCGGATCTAATTAACCCTCGATCGGGGGAAACATGAGTACCAAGCTCCGTTCACAGCGGTGAACGGCGGAGAGCTCGATTTCGCAATGTCGAAAAATTGATTTTCCTCACCCCTCACAAGCCAGTGTTAACGGAGACAAGATGAACATCGGTAAACTCGGGACAACGTAAGGAACACGATCGTACGGGAGGTGTAGAAAACAGAACAACGGTCAGAGACGAAACATCGATTGAAGTTTCTTGTTAAAAGAGAAAATTTTGAAGAGAGAGAATGAGGTTTTCAAATGAGAATTTTTTTGGATTTAGGGGTTATATATTCTTTAAAAAGAAAATTTGTAAAATTACATCATAGGTCCTCTAGTTTTAGTTACTTTTGAATTTGGATATAAATTTAATCAAAATTTCACTTTGGTCGTCGAATTTAATTAAACTTTCAATTTAGTTCTATGAATAAATTTTAAGAAAATTTTAGGCCCTAATTTAGAGTCTGACAAAATGCTCTTGGGGAAATCATATATATACACGGGACATGATTTAATTATATAGTGTAAAACTTTTTAGTTTTACAATTTTTTATGATCGTTGGATTAGGGGAAATCAAATGTTGAGATTAACAGTAAAAAATGTGAAGATATTCACTGAAAAAAATAAAAAGTTAATCTTAACCTTTGATTTTTCCTCATTTAATAATTTTAAAAGCGTATAAAACTAAAAATTTTATATTAAATATAAGTGAATATTAATCCTATATATAAATTAATATATATATATATATGTTGCTTTAAAATGTAGGGTCTTTGCTTGTCTTTATCCCAGTGCCATTAATTATGAAGTGTCTCGTTCCTATTAATTTATTTCAAACAGCCAATATTATCCAAACACACCTTCCATTTCCCTTCCAAAGCATCTACACAAAGGCATTTGCGGAAGGGAAAGGCATCCAACAAACAAGCAACATTTGGTGGCTTCATTGGTCACATCCACAAAAGTACCCTTTGAGTGACTATTCTTTTAAAATAACCATAAATGTGAATTCTTTTAATATCCATTATCATTGAACTTATTAAGAGGCACCATTAGTTAAAAAAATTATTTTCTTTAAATGTCATGAATTCGAGCAGTATATTTATAGTATGTATGCTATTAATTTCATCCCAAAATATACATATATACTAATAACATCTCTTGTTAATAAAATCGTTAGGTCAAGTTATATTATCATATGTTTAAAAAAAATTAAGTTAAACTATATTGAAACTAATTATATATTTGGATAAATTTGGAGATAAAATTGAAACGTTTAAAAGTTTGATGACTAATTTAGAAAGAATATCATAATTTAGGGATAAAATTAAAATGTTTAAAAGTTTAAGAACTAATTTAGAATGTGAGTCATAGTTTGAGGATGAAATGAGAATATTCAAAAGTTTAAAGATAAATTTAAAATGAATGTTATAGTTTAAGGGCATTCACTCATTAAAAATCATATGTTTGAAAAAAATTATCTTTCTCGTACAAAAATTTTCTATTAATAATATATATACGTCCCCTCTAGAAAATATATATCAAAATCCACCGTTCAAGTTCACCACCTATGAGTATTTGGAGCTATGTAGAAGAAAGAAAACATGAAAGGTGACGGTGGATTTATAAGTAAACAAGAGGGGGGAGCCAACAAAGACTGTTGAAAACGAAAATGTTAATTTGTCTTTTCCAGAGAAAGAAGTAAAACTTGAAACAAAATGCTAGAGTACCTAAAAGGAGAAGATTTACACTAGTGTAGATGGCCATAGATGAGACAAACAGTTTACTTATCACTAGTGTAGATGATCTTACGTTGAGGACGAATTTATAAAATTCAAAAAAAAAAATCATCAGTTACTTATCAATTCTAAAATAATAATTTGTTCATGACACAATTACAGTTTTTTATTTTGTTTATTTTTCTCGATCGATGCTAATGTATATATTTTGCATTAGTATATTTTTCATGACATCTTAAAAATGATGTCATTTCCTATGGAATCCTGCTCCCTATGCATTTGAAGGGGTCATATACAAATGACATTTTGTTGTGTACTATATTCTGAATTCGTCTTACTGCTGTACACTGCTATAACTTGAGAGAAACGACAGCATAAAATTTTCATACTGCCTGAACATGTTCATCCTCTTTGTTCTCGTTAATCTTTTGAGGCAACCTCATCACCTTTACCCGGGAAGCCGCCTGCAATTTCGCTTGTAACGTTAGACGGGGTTCATGCTGTAGGTTAGTTCATATTTATATGTTGTTTATTACCTTCTTATCAGAACCAAACTCGATAACATCGGAGGGACGGAGGCGAGCAGGAACGTTTGAAGGTACCCTAGATCTTCTCTCTTCATGGCTGCACATATAGTAGTTTAGTTTTAGTGAAAATTCCAGGAAATTTTATACTACATAAAAATGTGGGTACCTTCAAACGTAAATCGATTACGTAGAATGCATAGGGTACCTTCAAATGTAGGGTACCCATGCTCACTCTGTAAATCGATTACGAAGAATGCACCATCTTTATAGATGATTTGAGCATGAGTTCTCGATACCTGGAATAATTTACCGAAACAAAAAGGAACAAATAAAATCAACATTATTGTAGCGGAAGTGAGGAAACCATGTTAGATCCAGATTGGTGACATAAAAAATGGTTAAAGATCACCTGGGGTGAATGTATCACCAGACTTTCCTGGAAAGTTCACTTTCTTTTCACTCCTGCAATGACCATTAAGAATCAACAAACAAATAAATTACCATAGGAGAAAGTATTGCACCGTTCAACGGGATTGATTAATCCGCAGCTGAAAAATGAAACAGATGACAATGTCGTATAGTATGAACCGAACATACCCTATTACGAAAGGTTTGTTTTCGTCCCTACTTAAAAAAAAAATAGGTTGTGATGCAACTACTTCATTTCCAACTGAAAACAAGAACCACCTGCAGAACAAACAAGAGGAAATATTAGAGGCTTATAGTG